TAAAAATCAAATATAAAGAAAGAAAATAAAAAACAAAGCACGAAAAGAAAAAAAAGAAAGAAAAAAGAAAAGAAAACAAAAGAAAGAAAAGAAAAGGAAAGGGATACTTCGGTCCAATAGAAAAAGAAACCCAAAGAAAAAAGAAAAAAAAAACAACACCAACGTAACTCACTAACGCATGACAACGGACTATGGTAGCTAGCAGCGATAGATTAATGATGTGATCCGCACGGGCCCAAAACATCTGTAGGCCCAAAAGTAAACAAATGATCCAATACAAAAAGTATCAGAGTCGACGCGCAGGAAACAGATCATTGACGCAGCGCTCGGGACTTGCTCGGGAAATACGCGGCTCCTGCGCGGGAAATCGTCGTCACGCGGATTTCCGGAAATACCCTAGCATGCAAAAGCTTAACAAACAATGCTCCAAATTAATTGAAAATTATAACGTAAATTTAGTTTGGTCCCAAAACTATTCTTTCAACATGTTCCTACCAAGCCCTACAGTTTAAATATAAGAAAAGAAAAAAAAAACAACTTTGCGAACCGCGAACGGAACCATGTTTGGCCAACCTAACACATGTGCACAATCTTAATTAATTAGGTCCCAAAACCCAGTCTTGGGCCATGAATCGCCGTGGCACACGGCTTGTCACGGTGGTCAACTCATACTGCATATTCGGCTTGAACAACAACTACCACAACACTGCAACATCGCAATGTACGTTGAAAGAACATAGCATTTTTTCCTCAATAATACTGTATGTGGGAAAATTTGTTCCATAGCAATGAAAGATCTTAGGATTCTAAAAATACCATAGAAAGAATATGTTGTTGTAAAATACCACAGAAAGATCAAATTGTTAAATCAACATAGCTGTCAGTTACATTTTCAATACAACTCTCTTAAGCCTTGTTTGGATGCACTCGAATCCACCTCAATCCATGTGTGTTGGAGTGGATTGAGGTGGAAAATAATTTAACTTCCACCCAAATCCACTCCAATACATATAGATTGAGGTGAATACGAGTACATCCAAACAACGCATCAATCCACATGTGTTGGGGTGAATTGGAGTGAAACTTGAACTAAATTCCACCCAACACATGTAGATTGAGTTAAATTTGACAACATCTAAACAAAGCCTAACTTGGGCCAAAATATCCTACACATAAGTTCTTTACTCAACATCAAAACCGATTTGTACACAAGTCATGCGATTTTTCGCATGAAATATGCGCTCTGAAGTTCCTATGATTCAAAGTTTCAAACTCAAGAGTCAAGACCTTTGCCTCGCAGAGTCTGCCACACAGCTACGCCCCACAGTTACTTTGGACTAATTGTTTGATGCTATTATTTTGTATTAACTTCTAAGAATCCTGTATTGAATATTACAACCTCTAAGTGATTTCAAATCAAAATGCTTCAACATAAGTTTTAGAGCTCGCCAAGCGTTACAACTTTGGCAAAGGACATATCCCTATCTGAGGTCATTGTGAAAATTAAAAAAAATCAAAATCTTAAAAAAATATACGTCATTGTTAGGTAATAATATTTATTTTCACATATTTAAAAATGCTCTAATTTAAAATTGTCGTTGCTGGCAATCATCTTTTTCTTACATAATTCTTTTTGAAGTATCTCACCTCGTATGGTTTGTTTCTTTTCATCTTCATGAACTAATACTCTTTTTTATATATACTTATTTTTATACCATGACCTTCCCTCTTTATAAGAACATTATTTTTTATTCATTCACTGCATAATAGTGGCGGAGCCACCGCCCGACGAGCCTAGGTGTGCAAAGGGATGTTTTCTTTGCATCAAAGAAAAACACTGTATTTTTAGATAAATATTTCTGTATAATGAGAACTGTTTGGGCTTCTAAAAGTTTCTGCCTCCGCCACTGCTGCATAATGCTCGTTTTTCTTTGGTGCTTCTTTTCCTCTGCCATGAGCCCATGATATTCCCTTATAATAAGAACATTATGTGCAACAAACATTCAAGGGTTGACACGCGCCCAGCAGCTTTTTAGCTTATCGAAGACAACGAAAACATGGAAATCAGTGTTTAACTGATTATTATCCGGCGAGAGCCAACATGTGCAACGAACTTTGTGAGCAGTCTAGTCATCAGGATTTCTATTCTTGACGATTAACTAATCAGTACCTTACCAGAGTCACTTTTTTGTTTAGAGTAGAATAAATGTCCTGTTCGCTTGGCTGATAAGTCATGGCTGAAAGCATTGTTGGCTGATTTGTTATGAGAGAAAAATACTATCCGTTGGCTGAAAAAGTACGGCTTATAAGCCAAGCGAACAGGGCGAAAAGCGCACACACTCGACAACACATAAAACACTCAGTCCAAAATAAATGCATATCTTATATTTCTCACTAAATATATGAAAAAATAGTAGCAACATTTATGTATCAAAGGCCCTGTTCGCTTCTCTTATAATCCGTCTTTTTCGACTTGTTTTTTTAGCCGGAACAGTATTTTTCTCTCACAACAAATCAGCGGGAACAGTGTTTTGGCTTATTTTTTCAGAGAAGCAAACGTGGCCAAAATAATTTTACTATAAAAAAATATTATTACTTTTTGTATATATATTATCAAACCTAAGACTCATTGACTCCTCAACTTATTTTGAGATGGATGGAGTATATATACTGGCTTGCTGAGAAACAAGTACTTGAGATGCGCCAAGTTTTTTTTGGAAGAAAACCATATAAAACTGCAAACAATTTTGTAAGGAACTCAGCATTCCTATAGATAGTTTCTAGTAGTCTAATAAAACCAGAAAAAACATATTTCTATTTCTTACATCAATGGCCATTGGATAAGTCGCTTACATCAATGTCCATTGGATAAGAAGCAACTTCTTTGATCGGCCCAGGCTTCCCGTGCTTGTGGCCCAAAACAGGCCCTTGTGTGCGCGGTTGTTGGGCGCTTTCCCTGTCCATCTTTTTTTTTTCTTTCATACCCTACATATCCTAGAAACTAAGCTAGAAAGATGTGGAAGGGCGCAAAGATGACTGAAGGTCAAATTGAGTCTCGCCATGAATGAAGGTCAAATTGAGTATCGCCATGCCAATACCGCCCGATTTTACAGTTTTCGGCCTGCAGACCTCAGAAGACAATATGGAAACACACTAATAGCTCCAAAAATCACGATTTTCATTTAGATGGCTTCACAACTTCATAAGGATCATTTCCACAAGAGACTCCCAAATATGGAAGTTCACTAAACCGGCCTAACTGGATTTAAAAACTGGTCTGGCACGTTCCGGCGCGGCCGCGGACCCATTCCCGGCTTGCCGCCACGGGCAAGCTCCGGCGCGGAATCCAGCGGCAGCGCAGCCCTACTCCATCCCTGGCCTCACCTTCCCAGTGGCGCACGTAATGGAAGAAGAAGAGGGAAGAGGCGTGAGTGAGAGAGGGAGAGAGTTGAGAGACGTGGGCCGTGGGTGACACGTGAGGTCGCTCAATATTTTCTTTAGAAGCCATAGCTACCGAAGCAAATGGGTTTTTAACTTTTTCATGGCTACTTTTCCACGGCTGCTTTTCTAAAAGCCATAACCTAGGTCTGCTTTTTCAAAATCCAACTCCCAACCAAACAGTGTCTAAAGCTCTGCTTTGGTACGTTGTTGGTTTCACGTGCCAATGACCCGGCGCGGATCTGTGACTGGTCGGGCCTCGGAGGAGGTGGCCCCCAGCCCGACGGCCAGGCACACGCTCTTTCCTGGAAATTTGCTTGTCCAGTGCTTGTGTTGACACAAAATTATAAGGAGCAAAAGAAAGACCTAAAGCCGAAATGGGATTAAAATTCATTGCTGCACTTCCCTCCCCTTTTCTTTCCTCGAGCATTTTTTGCATTATCGTTGATATGGGATTAAAATTCATTCCAGCTCAGCCCTTTGTTTAGTCCCTACATTCTATGGAGTTTATTTTTTGCTTAAATCAATATAATCCCTACGGGTTTCGTTCATACTCCCTCCGTCCAGAAAAGAATGCAATTCTAGCACAGTGTCATGGTTTATAATCTTAAGTTCGATGAATTATAGATAAAAAATACCAATACTTATGATATCAAATAAATATCATTAGATTAATTACAAAATGTATTTTTATAATAAAATATTTTGGAGCTGTAAATGTGAATATTATTCACTAGAAATTTGATCAAACATTAACTACTTTTGCCGGCACGTAATTCGTAGTTGCATTCTTTTCTGGACGGAGAGAGTATATAACACGCCAAATTTGAAGCTTATGAAAACATAGGAACTCTTTATTTTTTCAGAACGGCAGGTGGCGAGGTATGTGGCAAATTTGGCTGTCCATCTCAGCAATGCTCAAAAACTAGGAACTAACATGTCCTATCTAAACTGACGTGACTACGGATTCAACGACCGTATCAGGGAGCCAATCTACAGCGGCAGCTGTGGCACCCGGCCCCTACCAAAATAGTGGAATTCTTCTTGTGTTTTTAGGTAGTAATAAAACACCATTACTAATCTTAGCACATAGAAATCTCACTAGGAGGCATTTAGTAGAGAAAATTTACACTAAATTTGGAATGACAAAACACTAGGCACCTCACTAGGAGAACTTTAATATTCTGGTCCAACTAGATGTGACTACGGGCTCAACGACTGCATCAGGGAGCCAATCTAGGGCGGGGGCAGCGGGGGCGTCGTCTACAACGATGAGTAGCCGCGATTCTACGGCGATGGTGACCAAGTCCACGGCACTGGTGACCAGTTCCATTTGTTCATGTTGTACTATTTTCTAAAATCAACCTCCATTTCTCTCTGACATTCAAAGATATTATATCCCTGATCATAATTCATACATCAAATCAGTTAACGGTAGGTCTCAGCTACTTAAACAATGTAGGGATAGATAGAAAAGTAGGGTAAGACCCAACAAGTGAGCCATAGTGGCACCGACTCTAGGAAGGGGAGCATGTGTAATCGCCGAGCGCATTAGCCCCACTTTATTTACCACCACTCCACCTATCATCAACCAGCCGGGCCATCTTCAGTGCTCCTAGCTTCAGCACGTCCCTGATGGCTGATGCTCTGTTTCTGAAACAGAGAACAAGTGTGAGTATGTATAACAGAGACAAACATACTAAAAATAAACTGAAGATGTCCTTGATTTGAAATGAACACATGTCACAACCTCCATAGTTCTTCCAGACTAGGAACAGTGGCCAGATTTCTGCTTCCCATTCAGTAGTGGCGTCATTTGCATTTTTCTGTCCTGCAGCACTTGTTTGCGCAGCTCTTATTATGCCTCCATAGGTGAGAGGTGCCATTCTTAGAGTGACCATTGTACCCCCTATCACAGACGTGGCACACTGCATAAACCACGCCACGATCTGCGCTGTTAACCTTGGTGAAGTGCATCCAAACTTCTGATTTGCCGTTGGAAGCAGCAGTTCTCTTGCGCTTGGTATCACTCTTACCGTGCATGTAATCACTGGATAGGGTAGAGTCCATGTTTACGCCTTCACCTAAACAGAGCAGGGAATATTAATCTCTATACTTGGTGGCTGTGCAAAGTTTTAACTACTATGGAATCGATGCAAGTGATTTGAAAATGGCACGTCGAAAGAAGTATTACCGTTGTAGTACCCTTTAGTGTCATTGTCACCATTCAGTCTCCTGTCCAAGTCACTGAAAATAGCGGTGACCGCATCTTTGTCATAGCGGAATACCTTGCGAATTACCATGTCCCCCTACAAGTAAGAGTGTATGAAGTAATGAAGCATAATTAAAAACCAAGGCAAGGCAAAAGGTGCTGCAACAGGTTTACTAGTTGGTTTTTCTGTAGAAGAGGGGTACAGATTTCATGAAGATTCTCAATTCAAACTATCTCGATGTTAAGAAGTGTGTAGAAACAGAGCAGGGGACTCGATGTCATCGACCTGTTTGAATTCGAGCATGATCCAGGCCGTCTTAAGCTTGTTGCTGTTCTGATTGAGATGAAACTCTAGGGTCCTCCTCAGCCCCATGTACTGTGGCACCTGCATTTGCATCTGATAATCGTTTTGGATAGCAGTGAACACATTATCTATATCCTTCCAGAACCCCTGCATTTGTTGCTGTTCCGTCCGGATCGCAGTGAACTCCTTATCTATCTCCTCCCAGCACCCTTCATTTGTCTGCCAGTTCAATGAGGTCGTGACGTAGCAGGCGTTGTTACCGAGAACCCATGGCTTCAGCTGGGTGAGGTTGGCGTTCACCTCTTGACACTCGAGCTTCCCTTCTATCTTCTGTTGGTTGTACGGATCAAGCACTGTACGGAGGCGGTGCAGCATTTCACAGTCCTCATCGGTCGAAGGATTGTTGCAGCTTGAGCGGCATTTGGCACTGTTCCTGTGCCTTGGAAGCCGAGAAGTGCCCTGTTTCTTGGGATGAGCCCTGAGAACTTTGTCACAGTGGTGGCACGCCGCGTACACCACATCAGGATCATTGGTACGTATCTTGGTGAAGTGCTTCCAAACATTGTCTGTTTTTCCATGGGGATGGCAGTGAGCTCCTAAATCTTTTCAACCCCTCCAATGTTTCAGTGCTCGGCGCCTTCACTGGTTGCGTAGACTCGGATATTTTTTTTCTTTATACCAAGACTATACCGATAACGTCTTGGTGCATTTAGAACCAGTAAGACGGCTCTTTTCCAGCGCTTTAACCTGCAGAGTTTCTGTCGTTTATATTTATATCTATCTATAAGAAAAATGAAGTTACTATTGATAGCTGGTGCTTATACAAAATCGATTTACTATTAATCTACTGATGATGTAGGTAAGGATTCTCAAATGCTTACTGCAGCATTATGTTTGCGTGTTTGTAAGCTCTGACGCATGACTCGACCTGGCGGCAAAGAGAGGAGGCCTGATCTGTTTCACACTTTCACCTTTCATGAATACCTTACGAAGCACCACATCCTCCTACGAGAGCGCCAAGCATACATACATAGTTCAGGAAAAATGTAAAATTGGTCACTTCACTTGTGGTGCAGGTGCAGCTAGCGATGTAGGTAAGGTACCTCGAGCGTCCTTGCGAAGGTGCTGGTAGTCGTGGATGAGCCAGTCCGTCTTGGTGCCTTCTCCGCCGGTGCCGTCGTTGAGGTAAAACTCGAGGGTCCTCCTAAGCCCGTGGTAAGAGGGGGAACAGGAGGAGGAGGAATCATCTCCAGAACGGATGGCGATGAACTCATCTTCTCTCTCTTTCCAGTACCCAGAATGCGTCCGCAGGCTCTTCCACTTGTTCTTTCTCAAGAGGAAGTAGGGTGGGAGTTCCCATGGGTCAAGCTGGAAGTTGGCGTCGTCCTCCATCATGACGAACAGAAGGCTATTTCCTTCCATCGAGAAGACGAAAACTCGAGATGGAGTGGAAATTGGATTTCAGCTGGAAGAAGCGAAGACGACGTCGACTGGGAAAAATCCGGTGACAAAGTTTGGATGTGGCCAAGCTTCAATTTTGCTATCGGTGAAAGGGGAGAAGAGCCATGGACAGGAGGGGAAGGAAGAAGGGGATGGATCGAATTGGAGATACCCCGATATCGATGATTGTCCTGGCCACCTGGGAAGAATGCTTTTGCTTTTGTAGGCGCGGACGCCCAGCCTGGCGGGTCCCATGTGTCACAGACGTCGCGCCCTTCTGGTCCCGCCCGGCCCGGCGACGCCAGGCTCCGATCCGCCTGCCCGCCGCGCCGGGAATTTTGATTTCGATCGAGTTTTCTTCTTGATTAAGGTAGCTTCAGCTCGGGCCGGCCCGCCGGCTGGCATGATGTGTATAGCTCTACTTGTCAACTCTGCTAAAAAAAAGCTCTACTTGTCAACCGGAATATATACACTACCGGATACAGGGGGCACTAAAAATACTCGGCAAAGCGTTTGCCGAGTGTTACACTCGGCAAACGACACTCGACGTAGGTTTTAACGGCAAAGAGATGTTTGCCGAGTGTTAATCGTCGGGCACTCTGCAAAGACTACGCTAAGTCCTAAAAAACACTCGGCAAACATTTTTCAGAAAAAAAAAATAAATCGCCGTAGGCACCACCACCACAGCCGCCGGCCACCACCACCACCACCAAAGCCGCCGCCGCCACAACCACCACACCACGCCGCCCGCCGCTAGATCCGGCCGCCACTGGCCGGATCCGGGAGAGGGAGGGCCGGATCCGACTGGGAGAAGAAGAAGGGGAGGGGAGGGGCCGCCACCATTAAGCCCGCTGCCGCCGCCACGTTGCTCGCCGTGGAGCCTGCCGCCGGAGGGCTCCCAACCGTCAGATCCACGGATCCACCGCCACCGGGATTCAACCCACCGGATCCGACGCTGAAGGACACCTCTCCGCCGGATCCTCGCCGTGGTGGCTCCATCCCACCAGATCCGCGATGCCACCCACCGGTGGAGCCATGGAGGGAGGGGAGGAGGGCGGATTTGCACCGCCACCCACAACTGCTGCTGCTCCGCATCGCCGGGAGGGGCCGAGCCGCCCTGCGCCATAGACGGGAGGGGCTAGGCTGCCTCGCGCGGGGCCGTGAAGGGCCGCCCCGGAGGGAGGGGAGCGGCGCAGCAGCGCCGGAGAGAGGGCGCAGGCGGGCGGATCTGAGAAGGAGACAGGGGAGCTGAGGGCCAGGCGGATCTAGTGAGGGGAGGGCGGGGCTGGGCCGGAGAGGGAGGGGGCAGCACCGTGCCAGCCGGAGAGGGAGGAGGGAAGGAGGGAGGGCGCGCGGAATGGAGGAGGGGGGAGGGAGGGGGTGGCAGCGGGGGGAAGAAGGAGGGGGAGGGAGGGCGCCTGTGGGAAGAAGAAGGGGAGGGCGGCCACCGTCCGGGGAAGAAGAAGGGGGGGGAGGGAGGGCGGCGCAGGAATTAAGTAGGATTTTGTGCCACCGCAGTGTTCTAGATCTGGGCACTCGGCAAAGTTTTTTTTTCATTTTTTTTCTTCTCCTTCTTTTTCAGAATTTTTTTTATTTCTTTGCCGAGTGCAAAAAAGAAAACACTTGGCAAACCCCCTCTTTGCCGAGTGTTTTTTTTGACACTCGGCAAACCTCCTCTTTGCCGAGTGTTTTTTTTTGCCGAGGGTTTTTAGCGCAGCACTCAGCAAAGAACTTGTTCGCCGAGTGCCCGAGGGAAAACACTCGGCAAACGTAAAAACACTCGGCAAATTCACTACTACACAAACGATTATGCGCAGCGTTGCATTTTTGCACTCCGTGGCGGTCACCTATTTTTGCCCGCTGCGGTAGATGCCACGATTTACCGCGGCGGGCATTTTTTATTTACTGTGGCGGGCACTTTAGCCCGCCATGGTAAATCGATTTATCGTGGCGAGCATCTTAAGATGCCCGCTACGGTAAATAGGGCATTTACCGTGGCGGGCATCCTATAAGGCCCGTCACGTAAATTGCTGGCCCAATTTTGAGCCCAAATCAGCCGATCTACTGGGCTTCATATAAAAGGGAGGTGTTAGGGTTTCACCCACTCGCCGCGAGATGGCCGCGAAGCCGAAGGACTCTCATGCGGTGGTGGAGCTCGCCCTCCCCTCACTCCTCTCCCTCCCATCTCACCGCACCCCTCTCCTTCCACTCCCGTCTCCCCTCCTCCTCACCTCTCACTCTATCTTCCCTCCCTCACTCCTCTTGGCAGGGTGGTGGAGCTCGCCGTGGTGGCCTCTCGGCGCGAAGGTGCAGCGGCTCAGCCTCGTCGGCCGGAGGCGCGGCGTTACGGAGAGGAGGCGCAGCCTCGCGGGCATGGCTGGCCTCTCGGCGTGGCCCGGAGGTGCGGAGAGCGGCGCGGGCGTGGCCGGCTCGCCAGCGGTGGGGGAAGGCCGGATCCGGCGCCCCTCCACCTTCTTCCCTGCCACCAAGCATGGATCGGGTCGCAGCGACCCCTTGGCGGCGGATCCGTTCGTGGGGGGGTCAGATCGAGTCGTGTGGATCGAGCGGCGCGCGACCGGGCGGCGCGCGACGGCCGGCCGGGCGACGTCGCGCATGGGGCCGCGACAGCTGGGCGCGACGGCGGCGACCTCGTCCAAGGGCGACCAAGGCGACGGATCGAGGCTCCCGACGGCGGATCGACGACGACAGCCTCCTCCATGGCCTCACGGCGGATCCAGCGCCCTCGTCGTCCACGGCGCGGGTCCAGCCTCGTCTTCGTCCACGGCCGCGGATCCGGTCGATCTGCGCTACTTGGTCGTAGATCCGGCGAGGTCGTCCTCCCTGGCCGCGGATCCGGCGAGGATGACCTCTCCGGCGGCGGATACGGCGAGGAGGAGACCCCGGCGGTGGATCCAGCGTGGTGCGGTGGTGCTGGTATTGGGCTGGGAACAGGCTCGTCGGTGGGCTCGAGAATGGGCTCGCCGACGGGCTCTTGGGTTTTTTTTGTTTTTTTTAAACTATTAACCGCGGCGGGCATCCTAAAGAGCCCGCGACGGGAAATCGGTTAACCGCAGCGGGCAAAGCCGCCCGCCGCGGTTAAGCCACGATTTACCGTGGCCTCTAGGCCGCGGCGGACGGCTTTGTCCGCCGCGGGAAACCGAAAACGCCCGCCTCCAGTAAACTTTGTGTAGTAGTGATTTGATGTTTCCGGTAGTGATATATGGAAAAAAAATCTATTTTGCCTCTCTTGGCTATAGCAAAAGTCAACTCTAAAACTGAAAATAGCTCATCCCTCATAGCATCTACAACAATTTAAAAAATCATCACTTGGTAAACTACACATGCACCAGCCTCGAAGTACCGTGGATGTAGTTTGTGGGATTTTGGGTTAAAAAACAGATGAATCAACCAATCGGTACAGGACATGGAATATGTATGTAGCTCAGCCTACACATGCACCAATATTTTTCCCATGCAACATAAGGAGTCAAATAATATCAAGTTTGACTAGATTTATAGAAAATAGTATTGATATTTGTATTTTTGGATAGGTTTATTATCAAAGTATGTTTCATGATTAATCTAGTGATAATTAATATGCATGATAAATATTAGTATTTTTGTATATATTTGGTTAAACTTGGATTTTTTTTTATTTTTTCTTGAACTAGTTAGCGTGCCCGTGCGTTGCTACGGGACAACTAAATCTTTTATACTAAAAACACATAGATTGCACGATAAGATAACAATACTGTTAAATTAAATACCGATGTTAAAGTGACATTTAATTCAAAAAACAAAGTTCGTGAAATTAACACAGTCACGGAGAGCGTGGTGTCGCAGGCTCACAAACTCTACTGTATAGACCTTTTCGTGATATGGCTAAGATAATATTTTATATCGGCAGAAAAAATTCTCCGATATCCATTTCTTTCATGCGCCAATAAATCCATGAATAAGTTCCGCTGCATCTCCATATAATCCTGTACACACAGGCTCGAGTATATATGTAAATATTAGTGCCTGTCACATGGATAATACTGCGTGTCTTAAAAAATCTCTCATAAAATTTTAAAACAAAGTATGTTATACTTACCGTATAAATATGTGTGGCTTTAGGACTATTCTACACAGACATATATTGTAGAATGAGGTATCCACTTGAGTGTCTGTTCCAAGATGTTGAATTAGGTGTTGTAATTCTTAATTTCGACACAATTTTCAGGTTAAGGCAACCAATGGTGACACTTTTCTTAGTGGTGCATAATTTTATGATGCACCTCTTGACTATCTGAGTAAGGACAAGTTAGCACTGTAAAGGCTCATAAAAGCTGCAGAGAAGGCCAAGGTTCAATTTTTCTCCAGTATGCATACTAAAACTTATGTCCCCGTTTATCATTGCCGATCCTTTTGATGCAAAACAATTCAATATTACCATGATCAGATATTTGTTTGAGTCTTTTGTGAGCAATCTCATAGAGGGACTCTCATCCTTTATGTGATCTGCCTCAAGGATATTGACAGGACGATGGACCCATGTTGGAATGTCGCACCAAAAAGTGTTCACGTTTTGTCCACGATTTATTTCCCATGAATACATGCGGGTGCTAGGATAACACTAACTACACCAAATGAAAGATTAGAGACAATTTACATTGCCTCTAGAAGGATTTATTTATTAAGTTATTTGGACTCTACAGGTAGTTTTGAAATATCTGTTTGCATGTCTTACCTCGTATCCTAATTCAAAATTTTGTAGTTTAATTAGAATATGGGGAAATGATTTAAAATGAACAGACCTAAGAGCAATTTCAGCAAGAAACAACAAGCGATGACGATGGAACACGTGAGCGTGAAACCAAATGAAAGGAGAAAAAAACTGTCCTTTTGCAAATACAAAGAGGGAAAGTAATTAAATGTAGACAGATTTGGCAAGGTTCTCAGAAATGCAA